TCATCGCCATGTCCTTGCAGATGGATCGCAGAGGCATCTGGAACTTGATGGGGCCCTGCCTCTTTGCCTTTGTGATCATGGCCTCCATGTGGGTAAGGAACAGAGCACATAGGTTCTCCTGTTTAGACTCAGGGAGAAGAGAGCCAGCCCCTTAATTCTGGTTGTGATCCCAGTTTTGCTGGAAGGGCTCCAAAACTCCACATCCACTCAGAGCCAGTAGAGCCAACCATAGACCCCCAGTATAGCCATGTGCCTGGCGTCTTGGCCATGAGTCCATATGTTGCCTAGATCTAGATAGACCCCTTAGCCCCGGGGAACTGTAGTTGCACTTGGCTGGCACTGACATTCATGTGGCTGTCCACTCCAGATGTACCGCTGTGGGCACCGGCGTCAGTGTTACCCTACCTCGTGGCAGCGCTGGGTCTTCTACCTCCTGCCTGGCATCTCCATGGCTGCTGTAGGCATCACCATCTATACTTCCATGATGACCAGTGAAAATTACTACTACACGCACAGCATTTGGCACATCCTATTGGCTGGTAGTGCGGCTTTCCTCCTGCCACCACGAGAGGAGCAGGCTGAGTCCTGGCCCTGCTTGCAGAAGTTCCCCTGTGAGTACCAGATCTGCAGGAATGATCGGGATGAGTTGTACACAGTGACATGATGTGGCTGCCTCAAGGACACCGGAGACTCTGATGACCTCTTCGTCTAGCCCCAGCCAGGTTTCCATCTGAATAAAATTGTCCTGCCACCCTTGGCTTCTTTCTCCAGAGGAGAGGACCCCACCCCAAAATCTTTGTGGCTGCTGCCCGTGTCCTCTGTAGGTCTCAGCTGCTTCTACCTGGAGACCATGGGTACCATGTGTGGACAGATCGATATGTTATGGTTGAAGATAGAGATAAGGGATCCCTGTTTTCCCATTCGTTTGTGAAGCTGTGATTTGAGACTTACAAGGCAAGGAATCCTGAGTCCACAGAGCCCACTGTCCCTGACAGCATGTACCATCCTGCCTTGGCATGGGGATGCCTTGTTGCTGCAGTTACTGTGGTAGAGTTCAAAAGCTGCTAAGAACCTGGGGTACCAGGCATTATCCTTCATTCTCTGTTGGAGTCACAGATCCTGGGAAGGGCCCGGAATAGCAGGCTGCTCAGCTGTATGAGGTGTGGCCCCAGAGGGCACACACTGCCCTACTGGTGTGCCCTCCTCATCCTAAAGGTCCTAGGCCCTAGTCTAGTGAGCAGTCTTTTGTGTTGGCTCTAGGCCCTAGGATGCTGACCCCCCTACTGGACCAGCTGAGGCTTGAGGTGGCTTCTGGAGCCCAATCTTCCTGGTGCCTCCTGGGAGCTCTGAGCTGATGGGTGCAGTGGTGCCCTGTCCCACTATGAGGCCCAACTGCTCTGTTGGGAGCCTTTTTTCTTGGTTTTGTCCAGGATTTGGGCTTTCTGGGCCACTCCCCCAGCTACTGACGCCCTTTATTTGGCCACCAAAGCACACTTCAGCCCCTGAAAGGGGAAACATGTATATACTGTTGGGGGGAGGTGATAAAATGTTAAACTGTTCTATGAAGGCATATTTTTATGTAATTGATGAATTTAATATTCTACAATGATTTTTCAAACCAAATGAGTGTTTTATTTATTTTTTTCTTGCGTCCCTGGAGGGAAAGGGAGTCTAGACTAAGGTTGGCTGTCCCTAACAGGCCTATCAAAGCTTCTGGGGAACCCCTGGGCTGTACTTGGTAGACGGTGCCTTGAACCATTGCATTCTCAGATAATTTTCCACGGTCCCTAAAGAAGGCGGAGTCAAGGGGATTGTTTTAGACGGATAGGCGTTGCTACCAATCGGCAGTGAGCAAAGGTGCACGTTCGGTGACGCCTTCTGGTTCCGGTTCCGGTTCCGGCAGGCGCGGGCTCACAACTCCGAGAGTTAGAGCGTTGCGAGATGCCTCTGCACAAGTACCCTGTGTACCTGTGGCAGAAGCTGCGGCTGCGGCAAGGCATCTACGCGCGTTTGCCCGCCCACTTCTTGCGCTCGCTGGAAGAAGAACGAACGCCGAGCCCGGTACACTACAAACCTCACGGGGCCAAATTCAAGATCAACCCCAAGAACGGGCAGCGCGAGCGCGTTGAGGACGTACCCATTCCAATTTACTACCCTCCAGAGTCCCAGCAGGGGCTCTGGGGTGGAGAGGGCCTGATTTTGGGCTACAGATATGCCAACAACGACAAGGTGGGTGCGGGCCATCTCGGCGGTTCTGCATGCTTTATTGGGCAGGCTCTGCTCTGAGCGCTGCGGACCGACTGCGTGGTTGACACAAGCGTTCGGTTTACGAAGTATGCTAACAAGTGGAGCGGCGAGGATCTGGAAAACTCCAATGGCAAAGTCTAGTGGGGTCCTGAAGTGGGGTGGTCCTGGTCAGGTAGCCATCAAAAGTAAGAATGAAGTGGGGCTGTGATGGAGCAGGGTGATAGAGTGCTTTTCTAGCTTATTTAAGATCTTGGGTTCAAATCCATAGCGCCACAGAGAAAAGAAAGGAAGGATAGATTTGAGGCTTGTGCTGAAGAGGAGGGAGAGGTGAAATCTGGTTGTCACCTGCCAGTTTCTATAAGCCTTTGCCTAATTCTTGTGACAGGACCTTTGCTCCTCCCACATAAAACTGATAAAGGCTGAGATGACGCTTGGATTCAGGCAGCTTCCAAGGTGCAGAGCCTGGAATCGATCATTCTGGTGGAACGCTGCTCCTAGCCAAGCGCTGTGGGAGGAGAGTGTTTCAGGCCTTCCAGGATGCCACTTGCCTGTGGCTGCTGGGTTTCAGCTGTGCCAGCATCTGGAACATGCTGGCAACATGAGGGCTAGCCTGAGAGAAGCAGACACCTCTGTGGGCATCCAGGTCCAGCGTCCGTGGAGCCTCTGAGGAAGGAAGAGGGCAAGCCTCACATAGCCCAGCTCTCAGGAAGATCTGTAGGGACATACCCCAGCAGTCAACAGGTCTCTCTTGCACACTCAGCTCTCGGCGAGAGTGAAGAAGGTGTGGAAGCCTCAGCTGTTTACTCGGGAGCTTTACAGTGAAATCCTGGACAAGAAGTTCACTGTGACTGTGACCATGAGGACCCTGGATCTCATTGATGAGGCCTACGGGTTTGACTTCTATATTCTCAAGGCAAGCAGGGGTTAGTGCACTACAGGGTCTTGTCAGTCAAGGGAGGTGCAAAGCAACTCTTCATGGGGCGGGGTAGGGGGGGGGCAGTACGTAACACCCAGGGTAGCCATTACAAGCCTTAGCAAAACACAGTGGGACTGAGTGCTCTTTGGTCCAGCCCCAGTGGAAGCTTTTTGCCTTCAGGAGGGTCACTTGTGAACAGTAGCCACTGGTTACCCTTCCCTGGGGATTGCCTTGGGCTTGACCCACATAGACTTGTATGCTAGTGCTGATCCCAATGCCTGGTCTGCTCTGGTCTCAAATAGGGGTACCAGTTGAAGAGAAACCTACAGGGTCAGCTGAGGGGGTGGGTGGGACCCTGCTGTGGCACCTGGCCCTATGTGAATCTTCTGCCAGACCCCAAAGGAAGACCTGTGTTCCAAGTTTGGCATGGACCTGAAGCGAGGGATGCTTCTGAGGCTTGCTCGCCAGGACCCCCAGCTGCATCCTGATGACCCTGAACGGAGAGCAGCCATCTATGACAAGTACAAGGTGAGAGTTTTCCCCATCCCGCTTGCTGCTGGAGGCTTCTGGCCTGGCCCTGTACCTCACCGAGGCTTTCTGCTGCTTGCTCAGAGTTTTGTCATCCCGGAGGCCGAGGCTGAGTGGGTTGGCCTGACGCTGGAGGAGGCTGTGGAGAAACAGAGACTTCTGGAGGAAAAGGTGAGCACCTGTGAACCGGCCACTGAGGCTGAGTAATGGGGGGCTGCTTTGGAGAGAGACGAGCATTTGGGGACTGCCACACCTAAATACGGCTATACATTTGGTTCCTGCCACTTTGAAGAAGCATGGCATTTTTCCTCTCTTGAGGTCCTTCCCTCTTCCCCTGAATGCTTAGGGACCTTTGGCACTAGGTGTTTACTTGGCCACCCAGCATCCCCTAGGATCTTTCTTTTGTGTCTGTGTCCCAGAATAGTCTAGAGCCTGTAGTGGCCGCCAGTATAGGGAAGCCAGAGGAAGGCGTGTGACTCTTGGTGTCCAAGAGAAAACAATCCTGTTCTGGTGGGTAGGTTCTGCCCTCCGGGATGCCAAGCAGTCTTTTTTTGTTTTGTTTTTGTTTTTTGTTTTTCCCAAGACTGGGTTTCTCTGTGCAGCCCTGGCTGTCCTGGAACGTAGTCTTATGTGAGTCTGCCCATCCCTGGCTCTTCCAAACCCCGTTTTCTCTCCACGTTTAGCTAGAAACAGCTGGCTACCACCCTCCCTAGAGCTCAATCTCTGGGCTACATTGAGCCTTACCATGACCTCTCCCCTTCAGGACCCTGTACCCCTGTTCAAGGTCTACGTAGAGGAGCTGGTCCAGCGGCTTCGGGAGCAGGCTCTGTCTAGCCCAGCAGTGGTGCAGAAGAGATCTGGTGACCGCGCCTGACCACCGGGCTCAGCCTCCCCTGTGGGCTTTTAGCACTGTGGACACGGTTGGGGTGGGCACAGGGACACCTGTGGGCAGTGGGCCAACCCTGCTTTGCGTGTGCTGACCACACAGCTCCTGTCGTAGACTTTTCAGAGAACCTTTCTGTGCCAGGACTCTTAGAGGTCTGGAGCAGAGCAGATGCCTGTCCAAGCTGGTCAAGTACTTACAGCATTGTAGTTCTTGGGCTGGAATAAGGAAAGTCCGAGGCAGTCTGAGCCACAGTAAAGTGTACTGGTTTGCCTGGGAGTCTGCAATCCTTCTGCGTGTTCTTGGCCTGGTCATTCCCCTGTCACAGATACCCAGGTGAATGATTTGCACTGTCCAGCTGTAGCCACCGGCCCTGCTGAGCTGGGGAGGCTGATGTCCCCTTTGTTACTTAACTTCCTTAAGAGAAGAGGTCCCTCATGGTTGAGGCGTCAAGGGTACAGCAAGATGGAGCGTCTTCTCTGCCAGTGTACATTCCTGTTTGTTGTGGAATGTTCTTCAGGGCAGAGGAAGGGAGCCTGGGGCCTGGCTCAGGTCTGTGTAGTATGCCCTGCGGGGCTAAAGCAGAAAAGCTTCCTGGGTCTAGGGCTTCTGTCAGCATCTGCCCTGCGATGGGGCCACACGGACTTAAAGGCCATGACTTCAGCACCCCCATCCCCAACTGCTCCCCTCTGCCTTGTGGTTAGGGCTGTGGCTTGAGGTAGGAAGGAAGGCCTTGGGTCCTCTTTTGCCCCGAGAGCTAGTGTCTCAGAGGCGTCAGCACAGAAACCAGTTCCTCTCTCTGGAGAGGACAAGGAGCGTCTCCCTAGTTGTGTGTGGAGGAAGATGAGGTGGTAGTGGGAGCCCAGTTCCCAGAGCCCCACACCTGGCTGGTATAAAAGGGAGCATTAGCTGCCTGCTTGACTGGGAACTGGCCTGGCCACAGAGTGTAGGACAGTGGGCTCCTCTGAGGGGGAGCCATAGGAGTGCGCATGCTTGGTTGTGTTTATGATGGCCAATCCCAAGCTGCACGGGGCCATTCTGCTGGCGTGTCAGGGCTCACCCAGATCCCTGAGGATGGGGGCTTGCCTCGGGTGTTCCTCAGGCCTCTCTGTCTGGTCTGGCCTCTCTGCCCTGCAGGGCGTGCGCTGCTCCCGCACTGTGTATAGTTCTTAGGTTAACAATTTTAAATGACTTCTATTCAGTGTGCATGTGTGCTTGCACGTGCCGTGGCATCCGTGTGGAGGTCAGGGGACAACTTGTGGGAGCTGATTCTTTTCCTTTTACCATGTGGGGTCCAGGGATCAAAGTCAGGACAGTAAGCTTAATGGCAAGTGTCTTTACTGGCTCAGCCATCTCGATGACTGTAATTTAAAAATTTTTTTTACCAGCCGGGCAGTGGTGGCACATGCTTTTAATCCCAGCACTCCACTCGGGAGGCAGTAGCAGGCGGATCTCTGTGAGTTCAAGGCCAGCCTGGTCTACAGAGCTAGTTCCAGGACAGCCAGGGCTACCCCGAGAAACCCTGTTTCAAAAAAAAAAAAAAAAAAAAAATTAAAAAAAAAATTATTTTTTTTTTAACCTAAAGCAAACAATACTCGGTCATCTATTGCCTTGGTGGACTCACAAGGCTTGGCCTAGTAGTTTAAATCATAGGGTTCCCACATTACTGGCTTTAAATTTGAGTCTTAAATTTAAACCAATCTCTTCCAGGTAGATCTCGGACCTTATTGGGATGTGTAATAGTTATCCTGACTGTCTGGCTTGGTTCAGCTAGCTACCTGTTTGATTATCTATCTCCTTTCTCGCTGCCAAGGCGTGGGTCGAGCAGGACCTGTGCAGAGGTTTTTGTTGTTGCTGTTGTTGCTTATTCTTTTGGAGATGAGGTCCCACTACATAGCCTCGGCTGGCCTTAACCTCCAGACCCTCATGTCCTGTCTCTCCCAAGGTCTGGGATTATAAATGTACACCCTTAGGCTTGGCTAGGTCCTGTAGGATTTCTTGTGTCAGTTTCTTGGGGCCTCAAGAGACCTGTGGCTGCCTTGAGGGTTACAGTCAGAACAGGCCAGGTTGTGGTTCTGGACCAGGGATTGAGGGTTACTGAGAAATTGCTAAGGGTGGCCATTGGTGTGGCTGCCAATGACAGGTGCTGAGAATGGCCTGAGCAAGTCACTGCTAGTCACCACTGCTGAAATCTGAGGTGGTTTCATTTTCCAATAGAAGGTCAGGCAGAACTGAGGTATACTCTGGTGTGGCCCTGGCCTTGGTTCACAGAATAGCCCCGTTCTAGTGGAATGTGGTATTTGGTTCTTTGTTCCATCTTCACAAATACAATTTGTTTTTTGTTTTGGTTTTGTTTTGTTTTGAGACAGGGTCTCACTTTAGCCCAGGAAGGCTTTGAACTTGAGGCAAGCTTAATGCCTCACCCTCTTGAGTTTTGGGATTATAGATGTTAGATGTGAGCCACACCCAACTTCAGAAACATTTTGAGTCAGGAAACTGTGATGTTCCATAGTAAATGATTAACTTATCTCCTCCCCCAGTAAAATGACTCAGGTCAGAGGTAGATCCCAAACAGACCATCCATACACTGTGCTGTCTTCTGGGTGTGGTGAGGGGGGTCCCAGCTTACAGAGTGGGGGTGGGGTAACACTGAGTGTCTCTGCTCACTCATGCATTCACATACACACTGAGGCAAGCCTGTGTTAATAATCCACACCACACATGGAATAGGAACTGAGGTGCAAGCTATAGGCACCTGTCTGGGACATCACTCTCTGCCTGTTTCCTTGTCTGCCGTGGGTCCTAAGCCTCCGTCCACTTCAGCTGCCTTAGCCAGCCTCCCTAGTTCTTTCTGGGCCCCGTGAACCAACCTGTGCATCTGCTGTGTGTCTCAGAGCCTGCACTGGGGGTGTGTACTAAGATCAACCTGCAGAAGGCAGAAAGAACTCCCCGTTTTATGACATCGGTCTGAGGCCAGCCTTAATGTCAGAAGGACTGTCGCCGGCTGTGGTGACAAGGGTGGCAGGCTGTGTCGTTGCTGCTGTGATTCCTCATGGCTGCTCTTCCTGCACATTGGGGCTGGGCAGTGGAGACCTGAGAAGCTGTGACTTCATCATTCCATTTAGAAGTGAGACCAAGGCCCGAACGGGCCTCTGCCACTCACGGGAGATGACATGAGATGGCTTGTAGGCCCAGCCCAGAACTCTACCTGACTTGTCTGCGAGGCTCACCTATGTGCTGGATCCTAAATATAGAGGTATTTAGGGAGGTAGGGTGGGTGGGTAGGCCCTGAGGGGTTGTGCAGGCACCTTTGACCCTGTTCTGAGTTCAGGGAGCCACTAGAGGTCAGCTCTCAGCTCACCCCTCCCTGCGCCTGGCAGTCTACCTGCTCTGGTCTGTGCTAACTCCGTGGGGTCCTGGCAGTTTGAACCCTTCCTGCTAACAGAGGTTACCCAGGTCTTCTGTCCATTCTGAGCCATCCTAAGCTGGACCCCTGGGCTGGAAGAGCTCAGCCAGCCGGAGGAGCTCCACGTCCCCCTCCCCCCGCCAGCTCACCGGCTACAGCTCACTCCAACCTCTCTAAGTTCACGCTGTGCTCTAGAATGGCCCAGGCTGCCATTCCCACCCATACCCTGTCCATGGATGAGACTTGTCCACTGGTGGTCTCCAACATGGTAAGGCAACCCTTCAAGTTGAGGTGCCGTCCTGTGTCAGCAGCTCGGGAGGCACTAGGCCTGGCTAGTGTGAAGCAGGTGAGACATACTGGGGGCTGGTCACTGAGTCACCATTTCAAGCTCGGATCCCTGAGACCAGCCTGCTTATTCTCACCTGCTTCTTTGGATGTAAGGACCCCCGGAGCATGTTTCAGGTTCTCTTGGCTCTGTGGTCCCTCTCGTCTTGGCAAGGTACTCTTCATTGGCCACTTAGGTTCCTGGGACAGGCTCTGGCCTTCTCTAAGGACCTAGAGAATCATACCTGTTCCTGGAAGCCCTGAGGGTGCTTATCAAGACATTATGTCCAGCAGGTGTGGTCTGGTCTGGTCTTAGGAAGGGAGATGCTGTCTGGAACTCTCAGGCCTTTGCAGGGTTCTTGACCAGCAGTGCTGTTCCCAGGGGCATTTGAACAGACTGGGCTCTTTCTGAATGTCACAGAACTGGGATGTTGGTGGCTTCAAGGTCGCTCAAAGGCCTGTAACCAGGAGGGGCAGTTAGTTCATGGAGGGATGACACATCATACTCTTGCTGAGACTCCCTGTTCTTGGTGTATCCTGGAATGTCTTGCTGGGGACTAATGTTAGTTGGCTCTGGAGGTATAGTGTTTTCCAGAAGGCGCTGTACCCAGAGAAGGGTTCCAGAGTTTTGCCAAGTTGGGGACCCAAGGTTCACAGAGAGCAGGGCCATGCTCAGGGCCATGGGAGGTTCCTGGCATCAGGGACATTACAGTGAGAATGTAGAGTGCTTTGTGAGCAGAGACAATGTTGACGAACTTCCATCCGAGGTAGGCTGAAAGCTTGGCTCTTCCGGCTTGGGGTTGGGTGGGGTTTCTCCCTGTTCTTTCCCCCACTGCCCACCATTCCCCCTACTCACTGTTTGTCACCAGTGTAGGCCTGGCCTTCAGCCCCTGGGGCAAGCCTGACCTGAAGTCCTTTTTTCAGCAGGGGCTCCAAAGATCATTATTTTTACCTTAGCCAGGAAACCAAGTAGGACATGTTACATCTCAGGAAAGGCCACGAGGTGGACAGAGACCCCCTCACATGGGACATGTATGAAACATACAACAAAAATGTCTAATAGCTAGTGTGGGGCCGGTTACTGTGTAGCCACTGCCAATGCCCCTCTGAAGGGACACTGGCATGGGGCCACGGGCAGCACTGCCTGCGCCCTCCGCAGATAGGAGTGGCTTGGGGGGTGGCGGTGTCTAAAGGGGCTGGTTGCCATGGCTACCATAGGGTTCTGAGGCCCGTCATCTGGTCCCTGCCTCAGCCAATAGGCGGCAGGAGCCTGAGCTGCAGCCTAGAGTCACGCTTCTGCCTCCCAGCCACACAGTGGCCAAGAGCAGGGACCCGCTTCCTGGAGTGGCTGAAAGTGCTCGGACGGACAGCCAAGCCCATCATGGCGGACAGCGGGACAGTGGGGCGCGATCAGGCACTTGGAGCCAGGCAGGTGAGGTAAGCCAGGCGGGTGGCCAGATGGGTGGAAGAATGGGTGGCCAGGTGGATGTAGGTGGTCCTTGTAGCCCATTGTTCTTGTGGTTGTGGCCGTGCCCTCAGCCCACCCCACCCTCAGCACACACACACTCTGCCCACCGAACCTTCACTTTGGATCCTCACCCCACATGGTCCGTAGAAGGGTCAAGGGAGGAGACAAAAGAAAGACTATGAGCAGAATGGAGCCACACCACACCACCACGGGCACGAAAACCGCCTTGGTTGGTCTCTCATGTCAGATTCTACACAGAGGCGGCTTCAAAGACCCCCTGACTAGCCCAGGCCCTTGGTGTCCTGACCACCGTGCCTGGGCTCGGCGACAAGCCGCCTCAAGTCGGCACGGTTTAAGGAGCATTTTTTCTTTTTTTTTTCAATAAGGGGGGAAAAAAAGAAGCAACAGAGAAAAAAAAATGTCCACCTATAACAGGGGGAGCAGCCAGCCCAGATAGATCAGAAGCGCCAAATCCCATTACTCGGGACTTCAGAGCACAGCCCTGCACAGGCAGCTGCGATTAAGAGCTTGTCAATGGAGTCCCCTTCGGAGATCAAAGGGGCATGCCTGTGAGTGTGTGTGTGTGTGTGTGTGTGTGTGTGTGTGTGTACATGTGTGTGCATGTGTGTGTAGGAGCACATGCTGTGGGGTGACAGGAGGGGCCGTGTGCCACAGCACAGAAGAGCCTGGTGTATCACCTGCCTCCGGTGGCCACCCTCCATGTTGCTTCTGTCCTTGCTGCTATGTGTGACATGCGTGGATGCATTGGGGGCCAGGCTGGGCACAGGAGAGGGCTGGTCCCCAATACATCCTCTGGAAGGCAGTCCTGGCTAGACCCAGTTCCCATTTCTGGGCCGCCTCTACCCTTTACTTGCATCCTGTCCCTTCCCCAGAGTCCACCCCGAGGAGCCTGTAGGAGCTGGGAAGGCATGCTGGGCCATGGGCAATGCTGGGTGTGAGGATGGGCTGTGTCTGGGTATATAACTACTGCAACCAGGTCCTGCTGTCCATAGGCCATGAGCTCTCAGCTGGCCTGGTAAATGCATCCTGGGGGTTGAAAGCTGCTGTCGATGTGATTGGTAGGTTGTTAGGTAAACTCTGAGAAGCAAATCTTTTAATCCACTGTGGCTAATCCAGTGCACTTTTGTTTGCCAAGACAGATTCTGCAGCAACAAAGGGCTGGAGGGACCCCAGCATACATAATCACATACTTAGAACTTGGCCGCGGCTGCCCACGGGGTTCCTAGGCAGCAGAGAGAGACATCTCAGGACAGCGGTGGAGAGGGTGGGGAGTTGGAGGAGGGGCCTACGTGGGTTGAAGGGGTGGGCCAGTAGCCTCCCTAGGTGACACCTTTTCACCTGTCAGGATGTCAGCCCCTGGCCACCGGCTGGATGGGCGGCTGTCAGTCACTGGAACTGTGCAAGTTTGAGGGGACAAACTTGAGCTGAGTCAGACAGAAGAAAACCCAGTACCCAGTGCAGGGTGCAAGAGTGCCTGGGACACAGAGAGGCTTGGGAAGATGTAATGGGAGGCTCAGAGGGATGACACGTGACATCGGGAAGGGAACAGAAGGAGGAAGGTGACAGGGCAGCCGGAGGGCAGGTGTGCCCAGGATAGGAAGAGGAAGTGGCCTGAGGCTGTGTGAGGAAGTATGAATGAACACCCGCAGAGTATCTTCAGGGCCTGGCACACTCCCGAGGGAGGACATTACCTTGTCTGGGAAAATGATGCTGAGGTTAGGGAGCACCAGGCTCCTTCTTCTTTCTAAGATGTATATTAGGTCATAGCCGTGGACTTTGTCCAGCTGCCCAGTTTTGTCCATGCAGACTGGTGCATGGAGCACTGAGGGGTCCTCACTTTGTCAAGGACATTCTACTCAGACACAGCAGGTAATCAAGTCTCCAGAGTGACTGGTGTCAGTCCCTCTTGTTCCTGAAGTTCCCTGGTTGGGGGAGGTGTCGGGCTTGGGGGCAGGCTGCCTTCCCCTACTGGGTCCTAGGGCTGGGATATCAAGAAGAGCTAACTCAGACTTCCCACCGTCCATGCCTGACTGCTGACCCTAATCTACTTGCCTGTTACCTTGGTGTCTACATTCCCCCTTTCCCCAGATGCCCCCAGACAAGTCCTGAGGGCCAGAGCCCTTCAGAACAGCAGTGTGATGACACCCCTTAAAACAGCAGGGAGTCAGATCCCAATAGGATGTGGATAGTATCCTGGGAGGGGTTTACTTGTTGGGGTCCACTTGTGTGAAGAGCTGGCCCAGCACCACCTTCATGCCTGTTTACACTACTTTCCTGCCTTCCTGGTTCTTGACTCCTGGAAGCTGCCAGGGAAATGGTGTGCTGGGCCACGTCTGCTGGATGGAGGACATGGCTGTGGGTACCTTTGGAGTCTTAACCCAGAGGAGGGCACAAGCAGTGACCACATTGTCCATCTCTGAAGAGACCATGCTAGCAAGGCAGAGTAATTCATTCTCTACTCCTCTGGGGATGGGTGCTCCTTACCTGGGAGGGGGGGGCCAGATATTCAGCTGAAACAGCATTCTGAGCAGGAGCCATCAGAACCTTCCATTGCAGTGCTGGCTGGCATTTAACCCATTATTTAGTGTGTCAACAGTGGTTAACACTGAAGCCACGTCGAACCATATCATTTAGGACATTTGTGCTCCTGTTGGGCAAAATGCAAACAACAAGAGTAAGGCTACATGCTAGCTCAGAACTCTCATCACCCGGACTGATGCAAGAGGAGGAAGAACTTGGGGCCAGGAAAATGGCTCAGCAGGTAAAGGAGCTTGCTGCTGACACTGATGGCCAGAGTTCAATTCCCAGGACCCACATGTGGAAGAAGAAAACCCAAAGTTGCACTTTGACTTTTACTATGGGCCCTGTCCATCTTATGCATACATACCATAAACAAACAAACAAACATGTCAAGGGTCATGCCAGTGCTAAGGTACAGAGTTAAGGCCTCCTGAGGCCCTGGACCAGAATGAGCACAGGAGCACACAGCTAATGCTGCCCATGAGCAGTTGCATCCTCCAGGGGCTCACTGGGCAATTATGTTGTTCCTATGGCTTATTATACATTGATGTCAACGGGAAGCTGGCAGCCACTGCAGAGTTGAGGCTTCCATGTGATTGTAATGGTAATGTTACTGTAGCACATCCATGAAGAATCAAGAATGAAGTAAAACTCATGCTGGGCAACTGGCACCTTCACTCCTGTGTTTCTAGCACTTGGAAAGCTTGGCCAGGAGGATCACAGGTTCAAGGCCAGCCTGAGCTATACAGTGAGACTCCGTTTTGGACGGGATATGGGAGGAACCCTTTGATAACTCTGCTTCCTACCAGGGACCTGTTTGATTCCTCTTTGATAGGCTCTTATTCCTCCTGCCTTCATAGACACGTTATGTGACACAAAAATTAGCATCTGTATTTGTGGCATTGTGGCTTTGGTCCTCATGGCTGTGTCTCAAACTTCTTGTCCTCCATTAGGCAGAGAGGCCCTGGCCACCCCACCTCTACCCTCAGGCCCCCAACCCCAATCTTAGAAATGGTGGGAAAAGAAGATGTGTGGGATGTGGCAGAGGCCGGGATTGGGCTTACGGCAGGAAAGCTGCTGGCCAACAGAGGGAGGGAACTGGGCCACCCAAGTTCTGAGTATTCTGAGCCACTTTGGGTATAGATGCCTTGTTCCACCCTGGAAATAAACCATTTAAGACCACAAGTCTTCACTCTCTCTACTGAGAACTCAGGTGCCACCCACCACTACCTGCCATACCTTTGCACTGGGTGGCGGGAGGGGGGACAGCCAGCCAGAAACTAGCTGAGACTGAAACTCCCCTCTTCCCCCAGAACTGGGGGTGGTCCCTTCTTGTCCTCTTCCTGAGCTGGGGCATGGACAGTGGCCGTTCACTTCTGTAGCTGGCCTTGTGCTGTGGATTTTCCTAGGTGTCCCACTGGGCCAGACCCTCTGAAACACACACATGCCGGGGTGCCGGATGACCGACTTTATCGCTTTTCATGAATGAACTTCCTCAGTCACAGGGACAAATAAAGGCTTCAAAAAACACTTATGTTAAAGTATTTTTATGTCTACATTGAAGAAAATGATTTCTGTTTATGAGTTTGTTTATTTTAAACCCTTTTTGGTTCCTGGGAAGAAGCCCAAGCAAATGCCATGGAAGTCAAGCTGCTAGTGGCGATTCTGGGTGAAGCAAAGCGCGGCACTGCTGTTGTATTTTAAGGCCCCGTGTAGAGGAGGGTACCTGTCTCTCAGAAGCAAGGTTCCCAAGTGCTGTCCTTTCCCCTCACTGCAGGAATTCCCCCAAGATCTCTATAATTTAGCCCTTGGTGGAGTTCCCTCCTCTGGTCTGCCCTCCCCGGGTTCCACCCCCTATTTAGAATTCTTCCCCCATGGCCACCCCACAGCCCACCTTAGCAGGCTGTTGCATTTCCTCCAGGCTTCCTGATTCCCTTCCTGTCCCTGCAGGGCAGGGGCCCCGAGGAGCTGGAGGCCCGAGGGTCCTATTCTGGTCCCAGGGCTTGGGGATACCCACCACCGTGGGCTAGCAGGAGGATGGACGTGGACTTGATCCCGAGAGCCTGGCCTGGCCGCAGCAGCAGCTCTACAGAATCAAGGCAAGCGTTGGGGCCCGGGTTTGGGAGTGGGGAGGCACTCCAATGGCAAGGCTATCTATGCTCAATCAGTGC